CTTCAACACTACAAGTTATTACTACAGCTCTTCCAGTTTAAGGACATACGTGCTGAGAGGACAGAAACGCCTCCAGCTGACACACTCTCAAGTCTCAAATCAAATCATTTTTCTCTTGCATATTGTATTGCTGTGCACACAGATACTTGCTGCACAACTCAAACTATATTTTTCGTTCCTGTTTGATAACCGTGCTCATCTGTGCATCATATTTCTTTCTGGTTTTACTACATGAAGCCTGAATTAGGTCACAAAGTATTTACGTCACACTCCCCAGGACAGAGGACTGGTTTGCATCTAGAAAAAAAGGAGGACAATAAACCAAGCAGCCAAAAAAACGAGAGAGGCAGGCTGCTGATTTGCTTATTAGATATGGATAAAAGATGCGTATTTCTCTTGCAATGAGAAATGTAATCTGTTAAATGTGATTTAAATATGAGAAGGACCATTTCCTCAATATTGCACACATTTTTATCTTAAAAAAAACAACTCAATGATTTATTTTCTGTAAAAAAATGCAAAAACAAATGTGGAAAACAGTGTTAGGGAGCAAAAATGAAAGCGATATCGCACGGTGTTCTTTGCGTGCGAACCACAACAAACAGACAAAGTTAAAGCCCAATAAGGATCCTTCTCAAGCTCAATGATAGATAAAAACTGTAGATTTTGTTCAGCATTTGACATTTCGTGGCTTTGCTACTTCCCTCAATATTTATACAAGAGTCTTGAAGAAAATCTTTCATATAAGATTTCAAATAAAAGGCAAGTAGCTCTAAATCATGAAAAAAAGAAGGGGCTTTGTTCAGCAACAGCATCTGCACCTTTCTGTAGGAAAATAAATGCAGCCTTTAAATTATACATCAACACTAATTAGATGTATGATATGATATGGCATCACAAATCTACAACCTACCTCTGGTCACAAAACAGCCACAGCTTAACTCGTCTCATCTTTCAACGCAGGGGAGAAACTCATCAAATAATCATGGTATAGCTTATTGAGTGACCTAGTTCTCAATTCTAGGACACCAAATAAGTAGCTCTGTGTCAAGTCCTCAGTTTTTTGTCAGCAATGTAATTTTGGACATTTTGTCACTGTACAATACCA